TCTCCTTCCTCCTCTCTCCTCTCCTCTCCTCTCCTCGCCCTTCGCTCCCTCCTCTCCTCCCTCCTCTCCTCCCTCCTCCCTCCCTCCCATGCTTCGGTCGCAGATCGTTGCGCTCCCGTGTGTAGCCTCGCAGTTCTGTCCTCAGGGTGCACTCGCGTCGAGTAGCGTCTGGTGATCGAGGCACAGCGCTGATTCCGCGTCGGCCAGCGCCGATTCGCGTCGACTTAGCGTCGGCCAGCGTCGATTTCGCGTCGACTCGCAAGAGCCGACAGGCTGGTATGAGAGGCTCCCATAAGTTGCCATCAAGGATTGGCCTGTTTTCCATTACCACCACCAAACGTTGGAGGGGGAGGGGGCCTTCCTCCTCGTCCTCCTCCTCCTCCTCCTCCTCCTCCTCATCCTCATCCTCATCCTCGTCCTCCTCCTTCCCCCATCCAACTTAGGGGGTGGTGGTGGTGGTGGTGGAAAGCAGGCCCATCCACCGAACCGTGCGCGCTCCCCTGCTGCTCGTGGCGCGCGCGCCCGCGCTCGAGAGGGCGGAGCTCGCCGAGGAGGAGAAGGCGGGAGGGGGGGGGAGCAGCGCGAGGGCGTCGCTGCGTCGACCGAAACCCTCGTCCTCCTTCTCGTTCTCCTCCTCCTCCTCCTCCTCCTCCTCCTCGTTCTCCTCCTCCTCCTCCTCCTCGTTCTCCTCCTCCTCCTCCCCCGCCTCCTCCTCCTCCTCCTGCTCCCTCCTCCTCCTCCTCCTCCTCCTCCTCCTCCTCCTCCTCCTCCTCCTCCTCCTCCTCCTCCTCCTCCGCCCGCAGCGCCGGCGTCAGGGGTGCACACGTCAGGAGGGGCAAACACACAGAGACACGATGCATCGTCGACTCCCAGGAGAATCTGGGCCGCGCGCTCCCCTGTGCTGGCCGGGGTCGTGGGGGCCCTCCCCTCCCCCCCCCTTGACTCGGTGCAGGTGGCCTGTCCTGGGCACGGCGCCTCGTCGCCATGGGCGCCAGACAAAAGCAAGGAGCGCATGGGAGGTGGGGGGGGGAAGACGAGCTCCGAGAAAATACTTGGCGCGATGGGGACTTCTGGGATGCGTGTCCGTGTATCTGTGAGTGCTCCTGGGCGCCTTCGGAGCGGCGCGCGCGAGGACGACATGCACGAGTTCCTGAGCCTGCTGTTCGACCGTATCAGCGGTGAGGTGGTCAGCCTGCTCTCGACAGATCAACGAGCGTGTGGAGGAGGAGGAGGAGGAGGAGGAGGAGGAGGAGGAGGAGGAGGAAGGAGGAGGAGGAGGAGGAGGAGGAGGAGGAGGAGGAGGAGGAGGAGGGGGAAGGATCGCGTGAGGGTCGGGGGCTCGTGGCTGTCCTGCAGGGGCGCTCGGGGGGTCCGCGTGCGCGCGGGGGGTTGTGTCAGCGCGGGGGGGGGGGGGGGCTGGAGCGGACCTGCCGCCGGGCAGGGTGGCATGGAGGTGTGCCCAGTGCACCCATCGATCGTTGAAAGTAAGTGATTTTTAATTTCCAGGTTCCGATCTACTTAAGGCGCTTTCCCACTCCAGCGATCGAGTGTCTTTCCCTTTTCCCCCCTCTTCAGGGGGCGGGTGGAGGCCCGATCTTCTTCCAGCGCCTTCCTACTTCATGCTTCTGTGTGCTTCTTCCGGCCGATGGGTGCAATTTGGAGTACTGCCTCCCTCTTGTTCCCAACCATCCTGTGGTGGTGGGACCTTGTTTTGAAGAGACAGCGCCCCGCGTCACTGCTCTCCTCCTCCCCCTCCTCCCTCCACCCCGTCCCCCCTCTCACTTCAGCACACCCCTCACACGTGTCGTGGCTCCATAAGGGCGGCCCTACCGACGGCCCCAGCGGCTGCGTTCGCATGCGCCCGCCGCGCCCATTTTGGCGCACCCTTTACGTGTTCGTGGCCCCATAGGGAGCCCCAGCGAAGGCCCACATGCCAGCGTTCGCATGCGCCCGCCGCGCCCATTTTGGCGCACCCTTCACACGCTTCGTGGCGCCATAGGGAACCCCGCCGTAGGCCTAAATGCAAGCGTTCGCATGCGCCCGCCGCACCCACTTCGGCACACCCCTCACACGCTTCGTGTCGTCATACCCCACCGAAGGCCCAAATGCCAGCTTTCGCGTGTGCTTGCCGCACCCAAAGTGGCACCCCCCCCAACTTTTCGTGGCTCCATAGGGAGACCCACCGAACGCCCAAATGCCAGCGTTCGCACGCGCCCGCCGCACCCATTTTAGCACACCCCTCACACGTTTTCGTGGCTCCATAGGGAGCCCCGCCGAAAGCGCAAATGCCAGAATTCGCATGCGCCCGCCGCACACATTTTGGCACACCCCTCACACGTTTGGTATTCCCATAGGGAGCTTCTCCGACTGCGGTGCATACAACGACGGTGTTTACAACTGCATATGATTGGGTCCTTCACCAGGCTAATTGTTTGTTCTTCCTCTGAATGGTTCACTGGCGCCTGGACGGTCGCTCGATTCGATCGCCCCCACCCCACCCCCGCAACACAGCAGCGCGTTGCAGCTTAGCCTGGTCTGGGGGCACACGCGGCTCACCGTCCGCATGCCCTTCTGCGACGCGTCGCTGTGGCGCCCCCCATCGTACATGTACGGCAGGCTCGTGACGTGTCGACCGGCGGCGACCCCAGCGCGGGCGTTAAATGTTGAAGGCCGCCTGTGACCCAGAAGCGGCTCATTCTTGAACGATCTGGCCTCTTCAAAGGGCCGCTCGTTCAAGTCTGAACAAAATCCCCGCGGTGTCAGGAAGCAACGCCGGGGTCGAGACGACGCACACCTGCCGTGTGGAGCTTTCTCCCTCTGACACTTGGTTTGGCGACGGGGGCAGTAGCTAGACGGTGGCGTGGGTGTGGGTCCTTTCCAGATGCCTCGCCCTGGCCAGTCTAGCTGAAGCAGGACTGCCCGGACCTTTCGTCCACCGCGAACCATTGAGGTGTCGACCCGGTTCTGGTTTGCAACGCGTGCCTGCGTGGATCCGCAGTGAGCTCTGACGCTGTGGACGTGCATGCCGTGTAGTGCAGTCTACATGTTGCAGTCTACGTGGTTCACCGAATGCCGGACGAGAATAATCGGGCGTGCATGCCGGGCGAGAATAACCGGGCGCACTCGGCCCGCGCACGGGAGGTGCCCACGAGGCGGGGCGCCCGCGGGCGGCGACGGGGCGGAGACCTGGGCTGCCCGTCCAATAACAGCAGGACGCAAGAGAGGACCTTCCTCCTCCTCGTCGTCCTTCACCTCCTCCTCCACCTCCTCCTCCTCCTCCTCCTCCTCCTCCTCCTCCTCCTCCTCCTCCTCCTCCTCCTCCTCCCCCACCTGTACCTCCCCCTCCTCTCCCTGACCCTCCCCTCCTCCTCCTTCTCCTCCTCCTTCTCCTCCTGCTCCTCCCCCTCCTCCTCCTTCTCCTCCTTCTCGTCCTCCGCCCGACCACGGCCGTCGCCTGCATTTGCCAGGGTTGATGTCATCCGCCTCCTCCTCCTCCTGAACTACCCGCCTAATAGCGACACGACGCAAGTGAGAACCATTGTGTTCGGAATGTGAGTAAATCCATTCTTTAGAACAGAAAAAAAACATAAACATAACTGTTGGCGTTCCGCGCGGGTTTCTTGGATCCTTGTTGGGCCTCCTGGCGGCGCCTCCAGCGCCGCCCCCGGCGCGGATCCAAGAAATACGCTTGGAGCGCGAACGTAAAAGAATTGCCCAAGACGCTCCCAAGCAATCCAGGACAGCTTTCAGGCAGCTCTCCAGGCTCCCAGGAGGCCTCCAAGAGACCTCAAGAGAGCTCCGAGAGGCCTCCCGAGAGCGCCTTGAGAACCCAATCGTTAATTTTCGATTTGTTTTATGGTTTTTGGCTTTCTCACCGTTTCATGCGTCCAACGCTCCAAGGCGGCCGATGAGGCCCCCAAGACCGCCCCAAGATAGCCAAAGAGGCCCCCAAGACGGCCCCAAGACGGGCCAAGACGGTCCCAAGACTGCCGAAGAGGCGCCCCGGATAGCTCGAGACCACCCAAGAACGGCCCCAGATGAGCCCAAGAGCGGGAGCAGGAGGCCGCCAGAGACCTCCGAGAGGACTCCTGTACCCCCCAGAGGCCTCCAAGACACCCAGTCCCCAGAGAGGCTCCCAAAAAGTCCCCGACGAGCCCACCCAAACCAGACCAAGAGGGCTTCGAGAGCCGTCCCGAGAGAGCCCGAAGAGGGTAAGAATGTTGATTTTCAGTTGCGTTTGTCAGCGTGGTTCGCCTTCTCACGTTCTGCGGCTTCAACGCTCCAAGACCGAGGAATTTGAAAACAAAAAACAATCATTCCAGATAATATTTTGTTGTTTCGAGTTGGGACTCCTACTCCCTACCCTCTTCCTCGAGCCCCATCAAGACTTCGGGGTCATATGCAAAAGTGTTTCGGGAATGCTCTTGAACTCTCAGACGCGGTCTTGGCTCTCTCTTGGATCGTCTTCGTGTCCTCTTCGCTGTCCCTGAAACCATTGTAGAAATCGGGATCCCATGATCCTATGAGTTGAAGCAGTGGAATTTGAGACTTATCCTCTTTTTCGAACTCACCCCCTGCTTATTTTTGCACGAAGACCCCGAGAGGCAGCCCGACATACCGTGGCCTGCATGCAGAAAACGTCTAACCCACAGCCCAGGCATTACAACTTGGAAAAAAGGAAATCACATCATTCGGTGTTTGTTCCAAGTTCGCCCCCTGTCTACTCTTGCACAACAGACCACGATAAAAGGCTTCTGAAAAGAACCCAGGAAGCCTTGGAGGGCTCCAAATCGTTGAATACCTAGCGGCAATTAATGATGTGTGCGTTTCCGCAGTTCCCCTTCTATACGATTCCGAGGCTTGCGCAGGGCCTTCCAGAGAGTTTTTGGACGCAAGACATGACAAGGATGATATTCCATGTGTTCGCCCGTCAAGCCTAGCTAGAGCTTGAGCGCGCGCGAAGCGCGCGATGGTTCTAGTACGAATATATGGATGTATATTGCTCATGTCGTCGTGCGCGTGGGCCCACCAGCGCAACAGGCTCTTGCTCGGCACCCAGTCGGCATCTTTTGAGCTGTCGCACGCGTAACGCTGCTCTGCCAGCAGGACCCTTCAGCCTCGCAGGCCTTGCTAGCGCGTTTCGACGTTGGGCGTGCTGGGTGTCGGCGTTGGCCTTGCAGGCTCTGGTGGATCGGTTCGAAACGGCGTGCACAGGTGCTCAAGGTTAGCTTTCCGCCAAGAACGGCTTCCCGTTTCGCTTCGCGCGTTGTTTCATCCGCCGTGACTCTTCCCCTATTCTTCCCTCCCCTTCTCCCTCTTTCTCCTCCTCCGGCTCCTCCTCGCTCTCTTTCTTTCTCTTCTCCTCCCTCTCCTCTGTTTACCTTTCTTCCCCCCTCTCCTAGTCCTCTTCTACCGACTCATCCCCCCCCTGATCTTCATGACCTCACGTCACCACCATCCTCCTTTCTTTGCCCCATGATTGTTCCCTCCTGTCTCCGTCGCATGTGTAGATGTTGTGACTGTTGACTTATGGCGCTGCTGGCTCAAGCTTGTGTCAGACTCTCGGCGGGCTGTGGCGCTGGGACCCCGCCGGCGGGGAGGTTTTGGAGGGAACCGCACACCGCTTCCACCGGAGCAGGATGCTGACGAGCAGAACGATGGAGGAGCTCGAGGAGGAGGAGGATGAGGAGGAGGAGGAGGAGGAGGAGGGGAACGAGGCAAAGAGAAAATGACAAGCAGGGAGCATAGGAAGCGGGAAGGAGGAGGAGGAGGATGGAATGGAAGGAGGAACCATACCAGCAGAGGGTACAAGGAAAGTAGGAGGAGATGGAGAACGAACATGGGGGAGAGACAAGAGGAGTGAGGAAGCGGAAGCGAAGAATAGAGGACGAGGATTTGGAGGGAAGCAGGAGGATGAGCGCCTAGGAGAGGATGGGCGGTTAGGGAGAGGAGAGTGTGGGATGCATATTGTACGCACTGCCCTGTTCTGTTACCAACGGACATCCCTCCTCTTCCTTTTGAGCGAGTGACTCTTGAACGTCAGAGTTCAGTTTGGAGGAGGAGGACTACGAGGAGGAGTGCGCGACCATACGATCTCGACTCGCCGGGACAGACAAGCGTCGCAGACATCTCCGTGGCAGACCTCTTGCGCCCTTGGAAGGCCACGTGTTTGCGGATATCGGTGAAAGCCATTCCATCTCTCTCCAATTCTTGTGCCTGGGACGTGAACGCCTTTTGGGGAGCTAACTCGACTACTTACGGCCATCCGACTCTCGCACTCCGATTCGAGTTCTCTGAAGGACGAATGGAAGCCTTACCACGTCTGCGATCTTATCACTACAGCCGTGGGTTTTTGCACCCGCCGCTTCACGGGGGTCGCGGCCAGACGAGCGTTCCGTCCGCTTCTGGGCCGTCCTCGGCGGCGCCTGACAAATCTCCTGTTAGGCCGCCCTTGAGGGCCTCTTGGGGGCTTCTGTGGTCGTCTTTGGGTCCGTCCGGGCTCCACTTGGGGCTCTCTTGGGCCATCAGAGTGGGGACAATTTGGGGGCCCCAAGGGTCCATCGGAAGCGAACAGGTGCGAAGGCTTGTGTTTATCAACCAGGTTTTGGCATGCTCGAGGTGTCTTTGGGGAGCTCCTGGGGCACTCAGAACCGTCTGGGGCATCTTGAGATATGCCGAAGGCTCTATTGAGCCACCGTTGGTTCTCTCGAAACATCGTGGAGGCCATCTTGGAGCCATCTTGATCCCAGCAGGGCCGCCAGCCACTTCTTGCTTCTCGGAAAGGTGGCAAGTTAAACCCTTCCCCGCATGGGGATATGAGACGGTGCCTTAGACCACCTACGTCCAGAGGGCTGTTGGGATTCATACCTTGACCACTCCTCTGTTCGCTTCCCTCCGCAGCACGCTTGTGTATCTGTCGATTTGACCAGCAAGGTCTTAGAAGGGCATGTGTCAGCGCCAAACATGCTTGCATGCATGCGCTCCTGGGTGGGTGGATAGGGATGATCGCCGCAGATTTGGCCAAGATGGTTGGGACGTCTGATGATGTCGACGACGAGGGCACTGGCAAGCTTACCGCTGAGCAGCAGGCTTCGGCGATCCACCTTCTCACGCTATAATATGTGCATGGTAGTTTAGCCTGCGTTCTGCAATGTTGCCATGACCAGACGATAGAAGCGGAGTGAGCATAAGGAGATGACACAGCTGAAATTTGCAGAACGCGTCGTCGTGGATCGGAGGGAGGCAAGCATCCGTCTGGATCCCACACTCCTCCCTTTCTTCTCTTTTTTCTCCTGCCTTTGTCCTCCTGTCCCTGCCTCGTCCGCGTTCGTTGTCTTCTGGCCGCCAAAGTGCCGAGGTTACGCCCAGAACTGCGCCCATTCCAACAGTCTGAAAATCTGGCGCCCTTCACGGGATGCTGGGTTTTGGCCAGCGTTTGCCGGCAGTCCAGCGGAACGTGAGCATTTCCGATGTAGCGTCTCCGTCAGCGGTTCGTGCCGGCGCTTACTTGCGGTCTGGGAGTTCTGAAGGCACATTCTCGGTTGCCTGACGGCGCTTGTCGAGCACATTTTACGAACTGGATGGGGGGGAGGAGGAGAAGGAGGAGGAGGAGGAGGATGAGGAGGAGAAGGAGAAGGAGAAGGCGGAGGGGAGGAGGACGAGGAGGACGAGGAGGAGGAGGGGAGGAGGCGCAGGAGAATGAGGCAGAGGGGGGGAAGGGGAGCCTTCTGAGAAGGCCCGCCCCTTCTCGGAAGGCTCGATGCCACTGACTGCTGCATGTAACACGTAGCACCCCGCAATTGCGGGTAAGAGTCAGAGGGTGGCGGGGTCGTCGACATTTTGCGAGGCTCTGGAGAAGCACGCCGCAGGCGCCGATTCTTTTTTTTGTAACACGTGACTCAACGAGCCCGCCGCTGGCGGGACGCGGGGTCTGTCGCGGGTGGGTCGCGGGGTGTGTCGTGGGTGGGTCGCGGGGCGGGTCGCGGGTGGGACGACAACACCAAGAACAACAATCATTTTAAGACTTTTCGCTCCTATCTGCTCGCGTGCCAACCAATACATCTATCCCAAACCCCTTGTATCCGCTCTCGTCGTCTCCGATCGTACCCCTCGGGGGTATACCCCTCGGGGGTATACCTTCCTTACCTGTTACGGGTTGAAAGGGGAGGGATAATAATGGAGCACGAGAGAAATTAGCAGGAGGGGGGCAAGGAGCAGAAAACAAGTGGTACAACCAGACGGGCAGATCGGGTGTGCAGACCCATATCGGGCAGGTCGGGAAAGAGAGCACAGGCGACGAGGTCGAGCAGGCGGGTTTCTGAAGAGTGGGTCCTGCATGAATCGCGAGGATGTCTCGAGCGATAGCGCGAATCCCAAGCAAATCATGAGGAAAGCCATAGCGAGAGCGTGATTCCTGAGCGCCGAGGGCGCATCATCTGAATCATCTGCAAGGAAGTCCCACGCGAGAGCGCGATGCGTACATGAATTGTGAGGAAGTCTCGCGCGAGAGCGCGATTTGGGAATACGTTGTGAGGGAGTAGAAGGCGGGAGCCGCTGTTTTTGTAAGCCGTGGGCCAGGGGTCCAGTTTGAACCTGGTGACTCTCCCTGAAAAAAACAGGGAGCGAGCCCCGAAAGGGGGATTAATAATACGCATTCGACAGTCATGAGAGCTCAGCAACAGCAGCAACACCAACACTAATCATTTTAACATTGTTCGCTCTTGCTGGCACGCGTGTCTGGCTTTCTGTATACCCCAACCCTCGATACCAGCCCACTTCGTCTTCGATCGCCCCCCCTTTCGGGGGAAATACCTAACGTGTCGGCCGCTGACTGAGGTGCGAAGAACTGTCGAGCGAGAGCGCCGTTCCTGAGTTCGTGGGCCTCTCTGGCTGCGGACTCCCGGAATCCAGATCGAGATGTCTTGAACGGGAGCCCTTGTCGCCGTGTCTGGGCCTCCACTCGCCGATTTCTGAGCAAAATGCGAAGAAGTCTCAGGCGGGAGCGATGGTCGTGGTCAACTTGTGAGGTAGTCTCAAGCGGGAGCCGATGTTGTTAAAATCCGGGGGCCGACAACGCAGTTCGCGCCTAGTCACTTCCCATGATGAGGAAACACAAACAAGGTGCGAGCCCCGGGGAAACACTTTCATTGGCAAGACGATGGTTACCGGAGGGGAGTCAACAATAAGCATTCCTCAGTCGTGAGAGTTCAACAACAAGAACAAAAAACAACCACCACCACCAACACCAACCAAAAGCAACAACACCACCAACAACACCAAGACCACCACCACCAACAACAGCAGCAGCAACAGCGACACACAGCAGAGTCCGCGCCGCGGAGTTCCCCTTCAGCCACGCACCTGGGGACAGTGAACGACCGCTCGGCCACCCCTTCTCCTGATTGCACCACAGGAGCAGCCCATCGCGTACCTTCGCTGCCTCTTTTGCAATACCATCCAATGTCGATGCTTTTCCCACGCCTTCTGGCGCGACGGCTTCGCGCGTCCCACGACCGCTCGGCACCAGGGCGGCCGCATGCCGCGCGCACGGCGCCTCGCCACTGGTCAGCGCATGCGTTCGCCGCTTGAGCTCAGGCCGCACGCGCTCACCGCGAACCGCCGACGTCCTGGTGATCGTTTCCTGCTCACTGTTGTGCCAATCGGCGCTGGCTCTCGCGCCCTCCCACTCGCCCCTTCCCCCGGAGCGGATCTTGGCTCTTTTTTTGGGCGCCTTCTCTGAGCAGGCAGAGCCTCCCCCATGATGGACGCCCTGCTGCAGACAGTCGCATTAAGCAGAGGTCCAGAGCCAGACCCCTTCCCTCCCCCCCTTCCGCCCAATTCGGAAGCTGGGCGAGGGCTGCTAAAACCGTGGCTGCTAAAACGGCCCTCCCGGAAGGAAAAAACAACTTCCCGGAATGAGGCGCGGCACGCGAAACAGTCAACGGGCTTCTTCCCAGAAGGACGAAGACATTTTCCCGGAGGTTGATTTTAGCAGCCACGGATTTAGCAGCCCTTGCCCCCCTTCCGCCCAGTGTTGAAGCGCCGAATAAGCAAACGCTCTCCTGACGGAGGGGGCCCTGGGTAGGTCCGCCACTCTCGGCCTCCAGGGGGCCTTCCGAGCCGGGTGCTGCCAGGAGTGGCCCTGGCCCAGAGGTGCCCCCAGGAGAAGGAGGAGGAGGAGGAGGAGGAGGAGGAGGAGGAGGAGGAGGAGGACGTCAAATATTCGACGAAGAGCTGGGGGCTCCTTGGGCCAGGGGCACCTTCAGCGACCCCCGGCCGAGGGCCCCACCACCGCCAGCCAAGCGGCTCCAGATGAGAAGCCATCTCTGGGGAGAGTTCCATCCGGGGGCCGGGGGCCCGTTCTCCCGGGGCCTTGTCCCCCCATGCCAAGAGCAGGCATGCCCTCGAGTTGCAGGGCAACCGCCAGGTCCTTGTCCTCGTCGTCGTCGTCCTCCTGCTATCTTCGCCGCCAGAGGCCAGACTCGACGCCACCAAGATCACCATCAACATGGAGAACGAGCGGTACTTGCAGGACCACCCAGAGATCAAGGACCGCACCCACTGCGCATGCCACCCGTGTGTGAGAGATGGGAGGAGAGGTCGTGGTGGAGGAGGAGGGTGGATGGGGGGCGCACGAAGCGCAGGAGGATGAGGAGCTGGGCAAGGCGAGGACAGCAGGTCCGCGGAGCGCGGCGGTCGAGCCTGAAGCCACCCTTGCGAAGGCCTTGCGGGCCCGTGCCGCCGACCCCGAAGGGGGACGACGAGGACGACGGCGACGACGACGACGGCGCTCGCGAGCCCTCGTGGGGGAAGGCCTGTGGGCATCCTTGGCATCGCTCGGACGTGTGCATTTTTTCTCGGCGAGAGCCATCGAGGACCATCCTGGACCACCGAGCAAAAAAAACACGCACGAAACCGAACAATGCAAGGGAAATGGACGTCCGAGCGACGGCAAGCACGGGGGCCTGAAAAAACACGCACGAAACCGAACAATCCAAGGGAAATGGACGCCCGAGCGACGGCAAGCACGGGGGCCTGCCCCGGGACCCCTCCCGATGGGGCCGCCACCGGCGACCCCCCTCCCGAGAGGGCCCGCCCCCCCCCCCCCCCTCGGCGGGGGAAGGGGTCGAGGGCCTTCCCTTCGGCTCGATGGGCGCTCCCCCTCTTGCTGCTCTACACTCTAGGCGATGCTTAAGAAAACCCAAGTTTTCGGCCAGAGTCTCGATTATTCTTAATGTTTCAGTGTAAATCCTAAGATTTGAATAGACATTCTGGGTTTTTATTCAAATTCTGAGACTCTGAATTTCTTAACCCATGATTTCTGAAGCATTTCGCAGGGTGTGCTCTTGTCGAAAGCTGGAACGTATACATTACCAGTGGCGGGCTGCTTTTCAGTCCCGGGACTGTCTCGAGGGTCGAGGACGACGCTGGCGTGGTGTGGTGTATATGTTTTCCCCGATGTCCTGGGGAGGCAACGAAACATGCATACACCAGGGTCCCGTGAGCACCAGGATCCGATCTCCAGTGCAGATTCCAGTGCAGGGCCGGAACAAGCGTCGGTGTATAGAGTTCGATTCCACATCTTGGAGTTCCACATTCTAATCTACTTTAGGCGCCTTCCTACTCCAGTGATCGAGTGGTTCCACCTTGTCCGTCATCCCAGGCGGGCGGACGGAACCCAATCTACTCTCAGCGCCTTCCTACTTCACGTGTCTAGCTCTTTCTTCCGACCGAGAGGTTTCAGTCGGGCCTGTCCCTCCACAGGGGGAACATTCAAACATAGTCAAGCAAATAGTTTGGGGACGATCTTTAAACGTTTTTTTTTGGTTTGAGCATTTGGGATTCTTTTGTTGGGTATTGGCTGAATTCTTCGTCCAGAATCCCCCCTGCAGGGGGACAGGCCCGACCTGGCGATCGGCACCGGCCTCTCTATGGGGCCGTCCTGGTCGGAGAGGCGGGGGAGAGTCCCGACCCCCCAGGGGGGGCAGGGGCGGACAACCGCCGGGCCCCGCCTGGGACCCCCCCCCGTCTCCGGCGTGGGGAGGGGATCCAGTCACCACCCACCAAACCACCCCAACCCAACCCGAAGGCTCAAATTTACCGTCGATTTCCAGTGGGGGGGGTGTCGGGGAGCATCAAACAAACACGCGTGGAACCCTTACCCCCCCAACCCGAAATTCGGGTCTTCGGGTTGGGTTGGGGTGGTCTGGTAGGTAGTCATCCAGGGGGAGAGGTTTCCCCTTGACTTGGTTACGGCGTGGTTGGCTTCTCGTCCGGCTGGGTCGCTCGAGGAGAGGATCCACGAGAGCCATCAGGAGGCCCGTGCGAAAAAATCTTCGAGAGCACGCGGTTCTGCAGCACAGAGGCGTGCGACGTCGCGCGCGCAGCAGCCCGCGAAGGGCGGCTCCGGCGCATATGCTGCGACCCTGACCCTGACCCTGACCCCTGGGTCGCTTGAGGAGGAGGTCCCAGGGAGAAGGGGAGAGTGGCGACGGCAACTCAAGCGGAAAAACGTCATGCACAACGACAGCGCCGGCGGACGTGAAGTCCACGCGCTTGACTCGGATGACTCGCCATGACCAGCATCCGCTTAATATGGTGGAACGCCTGCACCGAGACAACCATTCAAGCAGTCAAGGTAGTGACGCCCACGAAGAATGTAGGTTCTTCTCAGCTATGGCGATCACCTCGCCAAAATGATATTTCCTCCTCTTCTTCTCATGATTGCCCATTGTCCCCGCAGCATTCTTCTTCAATACGACTGCGACTGAAGCGAACACCTGGACCGAACATCCATGCGAAGCGCAGGAGGGCGAGGAGGAGTTGGAGGAGAGCTACAGCAGCGGTGGGCTTCAGCGGGAGCCTGTTCAGCGGGACTTCTAGGAAGTCGGGCATTCATTTCGATCGATCGTTTCATAGTCACTTACTTGGGACGCGACTACGTCATCACAGGTCGCTGCGGTGTGGCACACATTCGCCTAGGGATGTTCGTCAGTACACATGGGAGCACAACAGAACATGCGAATCTGACGGAGAGAGCTAACATCTAACACCCTCTAGCCACATTTTGGCACACGGACTATTCTACGGGCTGGTTTTATGTTCCCGTCGATTTCCACGTGTTGTCTGCATGCGCGCAGGTACTGAACGCGATCGCTCTGACCGTTTCCGCATTTTTAGGGAACATGGATTGCGTGAAGACGGGAATCTGACTGGAGCCCTGGGAGGCCAGGACGTCGCAGTTCCGCGCACCGCGTAGCAGCATATCAACCTGGACGCCACCGCCACACGACTCCCGAACCAAGTCGCGTCTGACAGCACCTTCTTGCGAAGCTTCCGTAGCCATTTTGGCTCAAGGATTGGCTCCAGGCGAAGGTTGGGCAACTTTCGTTCACCACTTCCCTGTGGCCTCGGGACCCTTCAAACTTAACGTGATGCGCGAGCTTGTTCACATTCAGGGCGGCCAGTGCGGGAATCAGATAGGCGCAAAATTTTGGGAGGTGATCAGTGATGAGCACGGCATAGACCCAACGGGTACTTATTCAAGTGACTTGCGCCATTCCGCCAACCCCCCAGAAGGAGCTACTGATTGCGACGTTCTTGGGAGTTATCTTGGGGCCATCCTTGTGGAGACAGGCTCAACGTGTCACTTCGTATCCCCCTTGGGCCCTTCTTAGGGCCCTCTTGGGGCTATCCTGTGCCGTCTGGGGGGATCCTGCGGCCGTCTTGGGGCCTTCTTTGGCCGTCATGGGTCTCTTGGGGGCCTCATTGTTCGTCTTGGGGCGATCTTGGGAACACCTTGGGCCGGCTGTGAGGGTGTCAGGACGAAGAAGGCGAGTATGCTTACACTTGCCAGTGGGAATGGGACGATTCTCGCTACTGGGAGCCCTCTCCCGTGGTCTCCTGGCAGCACTCATGGGCCGTGTTGGGCCCCTCGTGGGCCGCCTCGAAACCATTTTTTGGGTCGTCGTGGGGCTGCCTGGGGCGATCTTGACGCCTTCTAGGGACTGCCGTTGCGCTGTTTTGTGGCGCTCCGTTCTGAGCCTCGTGCGCAGCCTTGGGGTTCTAGAGAGGCGCGGGAGGCCCCGGGGATGCGTCCAGGAGCTCGTCCCCCCTCGTCCGCCCCCCCTCTCCCCACCCCTCTAGAAGCACTTGGGACCCTAGGGGGAGGGGGGGGGGGGAAGGGGCAGGGGGACAGCCAGATTCAAAGGAGAAGGCACGCCATAAGCATACACTGTTGGCGCTCGGAGCGGACTTCTGGGAGCCGCGCGGAGCGCCAACAGCTTATGTTTTATGCAGCTGCTTCTTCTCCTGGGGAAGGGGCATGGGGGGACAGTCAAGTGTCCCACACTCCCCCTCTCAGACCCCGGCATCCGGCGGTCGGCGGATCACGGCGACTCCGACCTGCAGCTGGAGCGGATCAACGTGTACTACAATGAGGCGACTGGTGGGCGCTACGTGCCCAGGGCAGTGCTCATGGACCTGGAGCCCGGCACCATGGACAGCGTCCGCGCGGGGCCGTTCGGGCAGCTGTTCCGGCCGGACAACTTCGTGTTCGGGCAGACAGGAGCTGGTAACAACTGGGCGAAAGGGCACTACACAGAAGGAGCCGAATTGATCGACAGTGTCCTCGACGTTGTCCGCAAGGAGGCCGAGGGGTGCGACTGCTTGCAGGGCTTCCAGATGTGTCACTCTTTGGGAGGAGGTACTGGCGCTGGGATGGGAACCCTGCTGATCTCCAAGGTCCGTGAGGAGTATCCGGATCGCATCATGGAGACGTTCAGTGTCATTCCCAGCCCCAAAGTTTCGGATACTGTCGTGGAGCCGTACAACGCCGTGCTGTCTTTCCACCAGCTCGTGGAGAACGCGGACGAATGCTTCTTGTTGGACAACGAGGCGCTCTATGATATCTGCTTCAGGACGTTGAAGCTGACCACGCCGACGTATGGAGATCTGAACCACCTCGTCAGCGCGGCGATCAGTGGCGTGACCACTTGCTTGCGCTTCCCAGGTCAGCTCAATTGCGATTTGCGCAAGATCGCGGTCAATCTGATTCCTTTCCCGCGCTTGCACTTCTTCATGACCGGTTTCGCACCGCTCACGAGCAGGGGTTCCCAGCAGTACAGAGCCTTGACAGTTCCTGAGCTCACCCAGCAGATGTTTGACGCGAAGAACATGATGTGCGCGGCAGACCCGCGCCACGGGCGCTACCTGACCGCCGCGGCGCTCTTCCGTGGCCGCATGTCCACGAAGGAAGTCGACGAGCAGATGCTAAACGTGCAAAACAAGAATTCGTCGTACTTCGTCGAGTGGATCCCGAACAACATCAAAGCTTCAGTGTGCGACATTCCTCCCAAGGGGTTGAAGATGGCGGTGGCCTTTGCAGGCAACTCAACCGCTATCCAAGAGATGTTCAAGAGAGTTGTGGACTTAGTTGTTCTTGCAAACGCTGGGGGCGTTTTTGGTTCCTTCTCTAACTTTTCGTGTTGCGGTCGACCAAGTCATGAAAGACAGCGGGAACCCCAACAACAAGAACAAACACGACACCGGCCAGACCAAATGATCGAACAACGGCAACCCAAACCAGAAAAGACACGGTAACCCAAAACAGAAAACAATTGACAGAAACGAGGAATAGAAAACAACAATGCAGTTAAACAACGGATTGCAAAACGAACCGAAAATGGCGAGACGGCAATCCCAAAGCGGAGAAGCACAACGGCTCCCAAAACAGTTGTCGCTTATGAAAATGGAGAATGCGCCCCCGGCGTTTTAAGAACATCTAAGGTTGCGGAGTACTTCACCGCCATGTTCCGGCGTAAGGCGTTTCTGCATTGGTACACCGGGGAGGGCATGGACGAGATGGAGTTCACCGAGGCCGAGAGCAACATGAACGATTTAGTTTCCGAGTACCAGCAGTACCAGGACGCCACCGCCGAGGAGGAGGGCGAGTTCGACGAGGAGGAGGACGGCGAGCAGTGAGGCGTCGCTGAGAAGCTGCTTTCTGGAAGTGTACAGAAGCTTTGCCAACCTCCGAGGTCCAGCAGGGCTACAGAAAGGGTTGGCCGACCAAGGTGTCAGCTTTCTTTTCACGTTGATGGTGGCTGTTTGGCCACTCTCCGCGTTCCACGCGAATTCACCTCGAGCCCGGGCGGCCCGAAACACCGCACTGTCCTCCCCGCACTTCTGCCGCGACACTAGAGAGACCGAAATACCCGTCGACGCGGCCCGGCAGCTTTCAACAAAAAGATTTTTTTGTGATAAGCCCGATCTGGTCCAGGAGAGCTCTTCGTCGCAACGCCATTCGCCATCCACCGCGACTGACGCGGGTTGAACCAGGGCTTGACCTAAACGTTGTTTTGTTGGACTTCGGCTGTGCTTTTCTGCTCGTTGTGGCAGGGAGGTGCAGGAAAACAGTGAGAGCAAAACGAAGAACACAACGAACACAACACGAAGCACAACGTTTAGGTCCAGCCCTGGGTTGGAATGGGGTCCACGGTCCACTGCGTCGGGGGCCCCCTCCAACACGGAGTCCGAGTCGGCCCGCGTCGCACCGTTCGGGCACCGGCGCTGGCTCCTCCGTGGCATCATCCCGTGCCGAGAGGGCGTTGGCGTGCTTGCTCTTTGCCGAGGCCCACTCGACTCGGGGAAACGTAAGACTCGGGCAAGCCGGAACTCGGGTTTGCCGATTTTTTTTGACGAGCGCGTCCCGAATTTTGACGGCCCCGTTTTCGTGGGATGTCTGCAGCGGGAGCCCGCGTCAAATTTCAGAGTGGGTCTCGTCATTTTTATGATCGCCCCCGTCAGGCCAACCCGAGTCCCCCGTACCCGAGTCTTACGTCTCCCCGATCGACGCTGCCAACCCTTACGCAAGTCGTGCACAAGGCGCTGCGCGAGCAGGCTGGTCCTTGCTACGCGATATGCGTATCACGATGCAGTGACTTCAGGGACGAGGAGGAGGAGGGAGGGTGAGACGAAGGCGCCAGGCGGAGGAGGAGGAGGAGGAGGATGAGGAGGAGCAGGAGCAGGAGGAGAGGAAATGGATGAGGTGGAGTACGATGATGATGATGATGATGATGATGATGATGATGATGATGATGATGATGATGATGATGATGATGATGATGATGATGATGATGATGATGATGATGATGATGATGATGATGATGATGATGATGATGATGATGATGATGATGATGATGATGGAATGCGGGGAGAGCGGGGCCGCACAACGATGTGGCTCAAGCGCTTCCGAGGTCGTCCTGGGCGTGGGAGGCTTCGCTCGCGTGTTCTGCTTCCCGCCCCGAGGCCCCTCCCTGTCCCAGTGGTCCGCAGCGCCCTGCGATGCCGGCGCCGCCCGCCTGCCCCGCCCGGCCCCGGCGCCCCGGGGCCTGCTGCCTCGCCGCCTGGCCGTGGCGGCCCCGCGGCGCTGCCCGACCTGCGCCTGCTCGCGGTCCTCGCGGGGCTGCTGGCATTGGTAATCTGCAGGAGGTTTCGGCGTCTGCGCAGAAGGGGGGTACGGGGGGGGGGGGGGAAGGCTTCTTAGGAGCACCCCTGCTTCTCAGAAGGCGTGGGCCTTCTCCACAGACGTGAGGCCGAGGCCTTCTACGAAGCTGGGTGCTTCTAAGAAGCCTTCCCCCCCCCCTCCCTACCCCCTTTTGCGCGCCGCCAAAGTTTGGGCGCGGCCCTGGTGACGGTGCGGGGCGCAGGACGCCAGCTCGGCGCACGCGCGAGCAGGGCCGCTGCGGCGGCGGAGAGCGCCAAGCCGATCCAGGATCAGGAGGCAGAGCTCGGTGACCTCGCCCAGGAGCAGCTGAGCTCGCTCCGCCAGCGGCGTAGTCGCGCGTGAAGGTATGGCGGCGGTGATTCCACCGCCCGTGCAGAGCCTCGGGCTCGAGGCTGGAGACTTCGGAGCTGCTCAGTACAGCGTGCCGGGGCTTTGCATCACGAGCGGGTCGTTTTTCTCGTGCGTTGGCGCTGGCACCACCGTGAGCGTGCTGACGCCCGATGGGGGCAACTGCGAGGAAGACTGGTTGCAGGGGCCCGACACCATCTGGCACGGATTGCTGGCGGGCGGGGCCTGTGGTGGTGCCGCGCCGCCACGAGCTGGAGCATGTGCCGGCGCCCGCGGTCTTTCAGGCCGCGCGCGCGGCCGCCGCGGCAAGGAGGGGGCTCCCCGTGCCCGGCGACGGCAGACAGCCCAACCTGGCTGGACGCGCGATCGCCGCGGGCGCGGGGGCGGCACCCGCCGCGCCTGCTGGAGCTGCTGGCCCTGGGTTGCCCGCTGTCGGTGCTGGTGTTGGCGCTCTGGCTGATGCCCTCGGACCCGCGCCTGGAGCTCCAGTCGCCGCGGGACTGGCCGGAGGAGGAGGAGGAGCGCTGCCTGGCGGAGGCCCTGGTACTGACCTTCAGCAGGCGGCCGAGGCCGCGGCTGTTGTTGGACCCGCAGTGGCCCCCCGATTGTGGGTCCTGGTGGCGTGCTCGTGCCCGCTGGAGCTCCTGCTGCAGCCGCGCCTGGATATGCTGCCGTCCCGACCCTGGACATCCGCATTCAACCTGTTGGTCATGACGCCTCTGTTGCTCGCTTCAGGGGGTTTCGTCTCGCCGTCGAAGGGGTGATCGAGACTCCCATGAATGACTTCCCAGTAAGAGGGCCGAGGACACTTGTATGGCTGTGTCGCTTCAATGTGTCCAATTGCCAGACCTCGCTCGGCAGGCGCGCGCGATGGAAGGCAGACGCCAAGATGCAGAATCTGGCGGCGTCGAGAACCATCTCATGCGCTGTCAGATGTTGGAGAGCATGGCCACGTCCGGTCAACTCAATGTTCTTGACATCGCTGGCGCAGAAATCATGGCGCGGGCCATCCAGGTTTCTGAGGAGCGGCGCCGCGATCGGATGCCGAGCTTCGCGGGTGGCAGCAACGACGCTACCCAGGACACCTTCCTGTGCATGGGGCTTGACCACGTGCGTGGGAGTGCGGCGGTGTGCCCAGCTCTGCAGTCATGGACGTCGGCCGATTTACATGGGGAAGTGTCCGTCATGCGGGAGCGGCACAAAGCCAGAGAAGAAATGCAGAGCGCTAAACAGGAGAAGAACAAGACCAAGAAGGATGGTAAAGACGACGGAACTCGGGCCGACCGTCGCCGCGCGGATTGGAGGCCAGATCGGCAGGTGAAGCCGTTGCCTCGCCTGTGCCGTTTGTTCATATCTTTGCTCCTCCGGGCCTTCCTCTCGAGGCTGCTCCCCATCATTTGTTGCGTGCGCCGCCGCCGCCTGGCCCGTCGAGCCCAGCGGGTAGGCGCGCCCATGGCGCTCGTGAGCGGGGCGCTTTCCCTTTGCTTTTTTTGTCCCCGCCAGAGGGGGTGGGGCAGCAGCAGACAATTTGGTTCCCGCGTCGCAGCGTGCAGCGTGGCGCAGACGGGTCCAGCACTATCGAGATTTGGCCAGCGATGGGATCTCTGGTCTTAACCATTTGTCTGAGGAAGAGCCCCGAGGGACCTCAGCTGTTGTTGAGAACACTGGGCAACGAGACGCCATCAGGCACTTTCGCGAATCTTCCTTTGCGATTTCAGCTGCCCCATCAGATCTGGTAACAGGCGCGTGATCTCTGCGCGAGATCTGCACCGCCTCAAGGCTCTATGGCGACGGGTCTGGGCCCACTAAAAGGCCGCGCACTCTGCGATTGTTCCCCCTCCCCGACCAGGCTGCTGCAGCCTGTGCGGCCACGATGCCGTCAGCTGGGGACTATATGGTTGCGCGATTACCAGGTGAATCTGCTCGGGGGCGTTAGTGAAGCCAAAGCTCTGCATCAAGAACTGGGGCCAAGAGAACCCTGCATCGACCGCTTCCGGAAAAAGACAAGCCCGCGGCCTACTCCGATTTCCTCATCTTTCTCTCCGATTGCGGGGCGCTCGAGTGGACTGGTCCCGGGAGAGCCCCGCGCCTGCGGAGTTGTTTTCCGTGGCCAAGAAGGATAGGGGGATCTGCGTCATCTTTGGCGCCCGCTCTCAGGGGCCCGCTCTCCACCAGGCTGCCGACGGCGTCGTCCCTCAGTAAGGTGGAGTCCGGCGGGCCGGCCATTATGGCGACAGGTGACATCGCTGCTGTTTTCTACAGGATGACTTTGCCATCCTTCTTGTGATCCTACTTCGGGTTGCCGTATTTGGCCGCCTGGCATTTGGGTCTTAAGAGTTCAAATGGGCAGAATCTCCACCCGAATGCTATGATCTCTCCCCAGCTGCGTGTACTTCCCATGGGGTGGTCTTGGTCATGCTTCTGTGTCTGAGCGTTGTTCGACGTGCCATTGCTTCGGTAAATTTCCTTGCGTCCCTAACTGCTCAGCATGGTCTTCCAGCTGTGGTCATCGAGGGCGAGGCGGTTCCAGTCGCGGGGTGCGTTGGCAACGTTCTGATCATCGGGCCCGGCAAACCACGGACCGATCAACTCCTCGGGGACATCTGGCAAGTACTGGATAAGACATGTCTCATGCTTCACGAGGTGGGGGAGGGCGCCCACGATTGAAATTTTCTCGGCCCCCCGCTCGCGGGTGGAGACAGGCTCTCGATCAAGCGTTGCAGCCCGTAGCGCCTGCGCTTCGCTGTGGAGGCGGTTTTGCGACGGCGACGCCGTAGTGGGCGCCTTCTACGGGCCTTCCTGGGACATCGCGCGGGCTTGGCTCATGCGGAGGGGGATTTAGAACGCATTGCAGGTTTGTGGCGCTTTTGCGACGAGGAACGGCCCCAGGGTCGCGGGAATTTGGCCAGCCGTCCGAAGCGAGTTTTGGTCCATCAGGTGTTTGCTACCGCTGCTGAATATGCGTTGGTCTGCCCGCTGACATCCGACTGCGCTGGCGACCGACGCCTCGGCGTTCGGCAGAGGTGCGCGCACCCGACAGGCTGACCCCTCTCGGGTCGGTGCGATCTGCAGGATATCCGAAACATGGGGATTCATGGTCGAACAGTGCACCGCCGCGCGCCGCCGC